TCTATACTGTATAATGGCTCCTAATGTATATTCAAGTTAGTTCGGTACTTAAGCTCTATTGGACTAGTGATTATTCAGTACTCAAGCCCTACTGGACTTTAGAATTATTGTTACGATAAACAAGAAAGTGGAACAACCGTATCGTGGACAGTAGACAGGACTGCAAATTGAAATGAAAAAATTTCATATTTGCTGCACTCTCTACGCTGATGATAGGAAACATTTTGACCGTATCGTTCAGTACTGTACTGCGAATTGAAATGAAAAAATTTGCTGCACTTTCTACGCTGATGATAGGAAATATTTTGACCGTATAGCGTTTTCAGCGATACTACATATGAGCAAAGACGTGACTAGTGAACTTTCAACAGATGAAGATAGGAACGTAAGTTAGAACTGCTTTACGACGGGTAACCAAGTAACGTGTAAAGAGTGTATGGCCAGGGACTACAGTACAACAAATCCTCCTTCTCTCCACCTCAAAATGATATTCATTCGTCAATACTGCTACCCTTTTCAATAATATAGGGGGCTTGCTCATCGTTGGCACGCCTGTGACTGTGAGAACTACCAAAGACTGCTGCAATAGTCACAGAGATTGAGAAAATCGTAACAGGGACTACTGCAATCCAAGGAAAGAAAGCCGTAACAACTTGCAATCTGCAAATCATTGTAAAAGGAGATGACTATCCAGTTGTATAGCTGCTTAAGTGGTGGTATAAAATGGAGATTACTATTCTATTGTAGCACCAAGTGGAGATCATTTACTACACCAGTAGTAGTACTGTATCTTGACATTGTTACTGATAGAGAATATAATTCAGGACGAATGATGATTCCTTGGCAAGGAAATACTGCGGCGATCGTAACTGCGAGACTAGCAGCACCCACCCACTGAGCTTGTTCAATCAACAAGCTCAATGTGGCCATCTCTGTTAAGGTCAAGTCGTCGTCGTCGTCATCCTAGTCGATCATGGATTGATTGATTTCTATATCGCTTGTCGACTTGAGTGCGATTGAGAATCGGCATTGATCCATTGGCAATGGATTGGATCATTTTTTGTCTCGCATCCTAGTCGATCATGGATTAATGGATTTCTATATCGCTTGTCGACTTGAGTGCGATTGAGAATCGGCATTGATCCATTGGCAATGGATTGGAAATTTTTTTGTCTCGCATCCTAGTCGATCATGGATTGATGGATTTCTATATCGCTTGTCGACTTGAGTGCGATTGAGTATCGGCATTGATCCATTGCCATTTTTTGTCTCGCATCCTAGTCGATCATGGATGGATTTCTATTTCGCTTGTCGACTTGAGTGTGATTGAGAATCGGCATTGATCCATTGGCAATGGATTGGATCATTTGTTGTCTCGCATCCTAGTCGATCATGGATTGATGGATTTCTATATCGCTTGTCGACTTGAGTGCGATTGAGAATCGGCATTGATCCATTGGCAATGGATTGGAAATTTTTTTGTCTCGCATCCTAGTCGATCATGGATTGATGGATTTCTATATCGCTTGTCGACTTGAGTGCGATTGAGTATCGGCATTGATCCATTGCCATTTTTTGTCTCGCATCCTAGTCGATCATGGATGGATTTCTATTTCGCTTGTCGACTTGAGCGTGATTGAGAATCGGCATTGATCCATTGGCAATGGATTGGGTCATTTTTTGTCTCACATCCTAGTCGATCATGGATGGATTTCTATTTCGCTTGTCGACTTGAGTGTGATTGAGTATCCCAATGGATCAATGCCATTTTTTGTCTCGCATCCTAGTCGATCATGGATGGATGGATTTCTACAGTATATCGCTTGTTGACTTGAGTGCAATTGTATATCGGATTGGATCATTTTTTGTCTGGCTTTTGCCATCGCATTCAATCGCAATAGTCCCAACATTGCAGTACTTGGAGTGATGATGAAAGCACGCCATTAAACCTCCTGCTTGACCTATTGTCATGGATCGCGATTGATTGATTTGTATGGGATAGCAAAATCCATTGTCAAGTCGATTGTGTCTACAGTACACTACCGGGGGGGGGGGGGCTAGGGGCCCGGCGTACGGTACGAAGTGACGACGCAGTAGAGGACAAGTCAGGCTATACACTTGGCCATACATGACTTGGTAAATGATATTAATCCATTGTCGTCGTCATGGAATACTTGGACGCAATACCCAACAAGGCAAAATGCCCCCAAGATACCTGGAGACAAAGGCGAGAAATAATTTTAATCGAGGCAGAAAGCGACTAGCAATATTGCTGTCATGGCGAGAAAGAGACGATAGTCCAGTATACTCTCCATCGATAGACCATTTTAAGGGTATATGTATTAAGTAGGTTGGAGTAGTGTAGTACTAAAAGAGTGGAGTATCTTTGCAATCGTATCGGTAGCACTAGGATTGATTGCGACGCGACTTGCTGATCACTAGACTAGCGACAGGAAGAAAACCTCCAACGATTCCAACGTAATAGCACAACTAGCGGACAGGGAAGAAAACCTTCAACGATTTAAACTTATTAATCTTTGTTCTACGATCATACTGGATTGGAGATCAAGATTGGCATTGGAAATTCATAAGTGAGCGTCCAAAAAAACCCCATCGAGCATCACGCCAATTCCAAAGTGTCAATACGTCATCGAGGAGGAAAGCGTTGTTGCTTTCTTCCTTGGAGCTCGACGCCATTGGTACTCGCAATTAACACCGTTTGTTGTTGTACTCAACATCGTCAAATCAATCGCGTGGTTGAACTACCTGATCATCCTCATTCTATCCTAGTCTTATCCACTAGCTAGCTATTGGCAGTACCACCCAAAGGAGTCAAGCAAGAAGCGATACAAGGTTGGAGGCATACAACTTGATCATCATCATGATGAAACAAAAGAAAAAAAAAAATTTTTGAATTCAATTGCTTCATTTACAGTTAATAGACAATTCTAGCCTACAATTCTACTCCATCATCATCATTGCAATTCTTCAATTTGTTGTTGTTGTTTTTATTAGCCAGCAATCATATCAAATGATGCATTGATTGTAAAGTACTTGTATGTAGGTGAGGATCGATGAATTCAATACAATGATGAGTTTCAAATTAAAAATGCTGCATTCAAAAGTCGACGAGTACCATCGGATGCTTTCGATCGACTGTAGTTCAACAGAATACCGTAAACTGCAGTAATTGATTTTTCCTCAATGCCAATCAATGGCCGGCCTAGTGGATACCATCGTTAGGCAGATGGCAATATCGCTGGTAAATGTTAGTCCTAATACGCTCCAATCTAGTTTGATGACCATGTAGTTCACGCTTGATCATTTTCTCTTATTCATGCTCTCTAAACCAATAACCGAATAACAATACAGTCCATGGAGGATAAAAGAGAGATGGCCATAACATAGCCAAGCAGTTGTTGAACTTTGACGCTATCATGACAGTTGAACAGCTTTAAATCAATCCAAATTGACTTTCTTACGGTAATATCAACCAGATGATAAAATCCACTCATCTTGTTCAATTGCAAAAGCAATCAACATGGATCGCTACAGCCAAGGAAAGGCCACCGTACGGTAAAAATAGCGTAGAAGGATCAATTATCCGTGTTGACAGGACGCTCTGTCGGATTAGTTTACCTTACCCATCCATGACAGTATTTCTAATCGTTGTAAACCCGATCAAAGAGTAAAGGAAACACTGCAATCACTCATTTCATTTCAATCATCATCCAAAATGGATAACAAGCAAATGATTGTCTAGCTAGTTTCGTTCTTGTCATGACAAAGATAACAAAACAATTTTTAAATTTGTTATCTAAATTATTAACCATTTAATGTGAAAAATAAATGTTTTCTTTTTTTTTTTTCCCCCTTTTTTGTCATCGTGGCGGTGGATAAGCAGATTCAATTACGCCACCATGTATGTCTACTTAAAAGATGGCCAACATTTACGTTATATTAGTCGAGTTAGCTTAGCAGATGGTTGTTATCCTTGTGTTCATAATGTCTTGCATGAGCATAAGGAATTAGTTGAACCAGCAATTTGGTTTAAGGTCTTGGTGCTGGATTCCATTTGTATTGATTGTTCCAAGCGTATGTTCTACTGGACTACCGGCCATATCGGCAAGCATGATCTACGTTTATGGACAACGGAATATGGCGATATGGAATTTTATGATTATGATGATGACTTTGATGAGCTCTTTCTTCTAGCTCGCAAGTTATTAACAGAAAAGAATGCTATCGCTGATAAAGACTTGGCAGAAACACAGGTTAGTACTGTCTAGTTGTTTCTTTCTTTTACAGTCAGTCATGGCGATCAAAGCCTTATCCTCGTAGTCCTATTGAAAGGAAAGGCTTTACTTTAGCCTATTTTCCCCATGAATCGCTTGTCCTTTCCATACATCATTCTTCTCATTGCAAAACTTTCCACCATTTCACCATACTGCCATCGTATTATCCTGACCATTAGCCAGTTGTTTCTGTTCTATCTTCGTTATTACATTATACACGCTGCTGTCTGCAATATCCGGTATTGACAACATCATCAACTTCTCAACTTTACTGCAGTCTATCATTCACTTTTTGCTGCTTTTAATTATTTAAAAATAAGCCCAAAACAACATTCAATAACACTTCACTCCATCATAAGAGGATGATTAGCACCTTACAAGGAAGCATGGAAAAATTCAACTACCCTCTTCACATAAATCGTATTCATCATAGCAAGAGAGAAGGGACCAAAATGTTCATCTGATGGCGTTGAATACCAATCATTGTGTCCAAACTAGACGATTACTTGGTCACAGTGCAAGCCATGATGGATAGTCCATTTCATGACTGTTTCTATTCCACTGTATTTTATAATCATTTTGCAAAGAAAATTCAAAAGGCTATTCGGAATGGTTCTACGATAGTTTGGACTCTATGCAGAAAGAAGGATACGCATGAAAATAATATCAATCTCAGTCATAATATCGACCTACCTACCCTTGATGATTGTTTTGACTCTGCAATCATCGTCAATATGGCGTAATGGTAAATAAGAGTATACAGTACATAAATGAGCACTCTTCTCATCATTGCGCCTTCTATTTCATTCGCATTCTTGACAGTCCTACGACAATATGCCAACGTATCACAACGCTGTTTTTCACTTTCTTTTTGGCTATTTGCTTGGTATGCTGAAGGCAGTCCACGTTGATATTCGCTGATATTGATATCCAACATACTGTACAGCTCGCGTACGCGTCTATTAACCTACAGTGCTTCAACTTCTTTTCTCACCAAGGCAGTCATGAAAGTATGTCAAATCTCACAACGCTGCTTCATGACTCCATTTTGAACTATTTCCTTCGCATTTCTTCCTTCAGTCATGGACTCTCAGATGACTTCTACATGCTTGGAAGATCGAAAAGTTTATAGTTTAGTCCTATTGCATCTTTAATACAATGGATAACATTACTCTACCAAGATAATTATCCAAGGCAGCACACGCCTGGATTTTGGGCTATTTCGTCAACATTTCTTCCTTCAGCGCTATGCATTCTCGAATAGAATTTGGGACACTCACGGTACTGCGGAGGGTTGCGACTCCTTTCCCCGATACTATTTTCCTTTTGCAATCAACTCAAAAGGCGATATCAATATCCACCATTCCTTGACTACTTTTCATCATGTTATTTTCTATTTGTTCAGGCTTAGTAGACAAAATCCGACAATCACAACTTGCATTTGTATTTTACTATTTTATTAGCATTGTGAACAGCATCGACAATTCTACTCCACGTTGCTATCAAGACTAAGGTGCAACTCTGTGGTGCAGGATACAAAATATCACCACTCTAGTTTGTATTTTACCATTTATTAGCATTGTGACTGTCCACTTCTGAGTTCTCTGATATCGATTGAGCCTATCTTGTTTTGCCTTCTATCGATTCGTTGATGTCAGTGCAACAGTGTTTCAACTTTTTTTCTAATACTATTTTCGAGCCAGATACAGTATCAATTGATATGCTTGATAAACGCGTCCATCATCAAAGCTGTAATTAAGATCCAATTTCCCAGAAATGATCGATGACATAACGCTTAAGAATGATAGACACAAGGCAGTTTGGTCAATCAATTTTTAAAGTCTTTTTATTTGCCTGCAGTCTATCATGTCATGATGATGTGTTTGGTCAATAACTGCTTCTTCAAATAATTCACCATATTGGTATAGCGTATGCCCATTGTCAAGATACAGTACGGATATTATTTTGCTGTGCCCTAGTTTGGTCCGTCTAAAATAGTGTTATCAATATTTCGGTTTTCCAATTGCTTTCAGTATGGCAATAAATCTCAATTAGACTGAATTAGCCTTGACATCATTCGCTTGAAGGTCAATACCAGTACAAATAATATTAGGCTAAAGAAGTCCCTGGCCAAACACTGTCAGCATGATGTTGGTGTTCCTTGATGAATTTTATAACAAGACGAAGAGTTACAATACAATACTACGTTCCATTCTCCATTTCCAATATGCAATAGCAGAAATAACATTTTTAGAGTTGAACAGGAACTAGCAGTATTTCAGTGATGAATGTTGTTGAAATCAAAACTGAAATTAGGTATCGCCATGCTTTCCCTTCAACTCATAAGTTTGGGTCAATCTTTGTAGCAATACTTGAACAACAGAAAGTAACTGTATTTTCCTGATGAATGTTGAAACCAAAACTGAAATTATGTATAGCAACGCTTTCCCTTTAACTCATGAGTTTTCGTAGCAACATTTGATCCAGCCTATCAATCAATCAATTATATTATAGAATTATCCATAAGACTCAGTCAGCTCACAGTTGCTGTAGTTGGAATGCTTTTGCAAGGAGGAATTCAATGTCCTTCAGTTGACTGTGATAGTAGATTGAATTTGACACTCGTCAAGAAAACATATCGTTGTAACAAAATGATTCATAAACCAAGAACTACTAAAAGGAAGTGCAATGGCTACCCTATTTCTCACATAATCCAAGGCCATCCTTAACTGAGTCCCCTAGTTGATTACCCTCTGAAAATAGTTTGTCCATTCAACTTTCGCTGTTCAACTTGATGATTCATCGATCCCATTTGGGACAAAATTCAAGACCCTACTGGACAACGTGGTGTAGTTGATGATCCACAGAAAATAGTCTGTCCATTCAATTTTGCTCCCTAACCATGTATGAATCTTATTGCGGATAGAGTTTGGTCTGTTGATTCAATTGTGGCATTTCACTTAGTGATGTAAATAGATCAATTTCGATTGACTGAATAATCCATCAACTTCAATCCGGAAAGAAAACTAAACCCTACTTTTACAACCTCGCTCAGATTGCTTTCATTTCTCAATACAAGAGTACAGTAATAGTATAAAGCATTCAAGATTTTACATTTAAAATGGCGAGTGTGAAGAATGCACTTGAATCAAAATGTATACCACAAGGTTATCGTAATACCCTGAGAGAATGCAAGACCCTAGTTTGCAATATACTCATGAAAAGGTGAAAACAAGGGCAGTATTTCAAATTATCCTACCAATACAAAAGCCAATTTAGCTTGTAACGATTCTCACATGAGTGCCATCCATTGGATGGTTTCGTCGTTTTTACGCTATAATCCTATTCAAATGAAGACATCGCTTTAGACCATAGAAAATGCTTTACCCTTTATGGTCTAGACCGATTGCAAACTATTTGGCTTACGTCCAGTGTTTACCGCATTGAAATCTTGTGCCTTTGAAATGAATAGAAAATTAAACAGTTGTAAGGCTATTTCAAATCTTGTTGTGAAATGGAAGACAGCCATGGATCTACTCGATGCTATGAAAAGTATAGACGACTAAATTGAATTGTCAATCTCATTTTGACATGGATTTTATTCTTGTCAAGTTTTAAAGGAAATGAGTCGGTCGATAGAAACAATTTATTTATTGTTGGAAAGGCAGCTGAACATGAGAATGGTTTTCAACAAATACATAACATTACACCCAGTGGCTGCTCCACATACTGGGACATCCATTTTGTCAGTCATGAATCCATTCCTTTTTGCGTCAAATAATTTTATTTCCCATTACTATCGTTGTCAACCGAATACAAATACTTTACCCGGCAACTGCATACTCGGATATGTATTTAGTCAGTAATGAAACCATTCTTATTGCGTCAGATTATTGTACAGCAAGGACAATCATCACCCATTCTGTCTTTGAATCGATCCTTTGGAAATATTTTAAGAACGGGGTAAAAGAAATAAGCAAATAAAGGCCAAACATCCAAAATGACCTTGTGTCAACATCGACGCTACAATGGATTGTCCATAGGCAAATATGTCTCCCGCCAGTAAATCAAAAGGGTGGCCATAGTAGACTGCTTCGAATGCATCCTTGACCATGGTGATGAATTCCTTTAGCATTCAATCTTGCCATGATGGATTGACTATTTAATCTCGTGTTGAGATTGATTAATGCGCTGTACATTTTGTACATTTTGCAATCTTGTCACGGACAATAACCTTCATTTTGTGCCATTATGGGTAATTAGAATCAATGTCTATTTTTCAATGGCTTGCAACCGAATAAATTACTGTAATATTCGACTGTTTCATTATGATAAAGCAATACGCCATGGCAAACTATTATTAAAATTGGACTTGGATGTTGAACTAGGCATTGTTGTCATGGATTATTTTGGATAGCATAGTCAATGCGTCAGATTATATTGTTAACCTTAAAAGACAATCTTTCAACATTTTTGTTCTTCCAAGTAGTAAACACGCTCTAGGCTTTCAACTGAGGATAGAGTCGATGTCTATGATCGGTTAGAAACGCATAACATTGATATTGATAATCATGGAGGAGCGTAAGATTATATTATTAACCTTAAAAGAAGATCTTTCAACATTTCTGTTCTTCCAAGTAGTAAACACGCTCTAGGCCTTCTATTGAGGATAGAGTCGATGTCTATGATCGGTTAGAAACGCATATCATCGATATTAATAATCATGGACAGCAAACAGTTTGGAATGGATTACGCTTAAAGGCAATCAATAACTCTTTTCATATTTTACTGATAGAATAATCAATCGACTATTGCCATCGATGCTATTCTTTTTAAGGACAGTAGTATATTCATTCTTTGTCTTGATATCAGCAATTTATCTTATGCACGGATCTTGTAGTCTATCCCTATTCTATAACATTGGTGGTTGAGTTAAGCTCTGAGTAGAGAATTGGGATTATTTTCTATGGCCTTGAGTTTATAGAAATGTGTAAACTATCTATCTTGATATCACCATTTTATGTTGCATTTTTGTAAATCTATAAAACATCCATGATAACAGTAGATTGGTTCAACTCTCAGCACAAAGTGAGGGTATTATCCTTGGCTTGGATGGCAGAAAGTACTACATCTACTTTGATATTATGAACGCATTTTGTAGAGTTTATCCTATTACCCATCGACTACAACAATATCACCATTTTGTGTTGTATTTTTGTAAGGCTATAACGTCCATGACAACAATTTTTTGGTTAAAAGTCTCGACACAAAGTGAGGATACTGTCCACGGCTTAGATGGCAAAAAGTCCTATACTCTCTACCTTGCTATCATGAACACATTTTATAGAGTTTATCCTATTCCATCGACTACAACAGTGAAGCCAAAGACAATCTTTGGCGGCTTCGAGTAAGAGAACGTATAAACGTAAAACTCTACGTTGGATAGAATAATAGTCTATTAGGCATATGTAAGCTTTCTGATAACAGTGATGATAGCAACGGATTAGTTAAAGTAGTAAATAGTTGGATATTTGT